AGGGTGGGGGCAGGGGTCACCCAGCAGAGGAGGAGGAGGAGGAAGATCGGGGCAGGGTGTTCCACGCAGGATGTCTCAGGCAGGAAGCAGAGTGAGCACAAAGGCCCGTGAAGATCAGGAGGGAGACTGTGGCTGTAGCTGGGAACCAGGAGTAGGTGAGGTCCCAGAGACTGGCCATGCCCTGTCAGGGCCACAGAGCCTCAAGAAGGAGACCGATGAGAAGCCTTGCAGCCATGTCCTCACATCTCTTCTCTGGCTCCAGTGAGCACACCAAGGTCAAGGTCAAGGCTGGGTCGGGGTGGGGGGATCAGGAGGCCTCGTCATCCACATTGTACATAGGGACAGTTCCCAGTACCCAGGGTTTATGAGGCTTAGGGGTGGTTCCCAAGGAGGGCAGGGTTCAGCCACAGGCCACCAAACTTCCCGGTAGCTGCGGTCTTAGATAAATTTTAAACTAAGCTGGTCAAAAGTAATGGTTCACTAAGTCCAGTATGAACAAGGGGAAGCTGAGCAACACTGGGTGTCGCAGGAATCAGAGGAGGGTCTTTGGACTCTGGATCTCACAGAAGGACGAAACCATGCCACAGCCACACAGGGTGCCATGGCCATGAAGGAGGCACCACTATCACCCCATTTTACAGATGAGGAAACTGAGGCACAGGGAGGGAAATCACTTGCCTGAGACCCTGGCCAGTAACAGGTGGCAGCCTGACTCTGAGCTGGGTCATTGAGAGCCAGCTTGATGAACTTCCAATCTGTAGGAGCAAAACAGCCCCATGTATCCCCCACAGGGCCCTGAAAGGCCCAGCAGTCACAGAGTCCCATAATGTGCTTATCTTTAGCAGGGTGTTCCACCGCCACAACCACCTCTCCCAGTCCAGGCACCGGCCTCTCACCCTCACAGCACGATCTGGGCCAGGCCTTCAACACCCCTTGCCTGACACCATGCCAACCTCTTTACCTCTCCCTGTCCCCCACTCCCAGCCTGTGCTCTTGTCCCTGCTTGTCCCTCTTCCACACAGTAGCCAGTGGGCTGAGCTGGTTTCCCCCAGCACCATGTGCAACCCAAGCTCCCACTGCCTGAACCCCTCACCAGGCCTGCCAGGTCCTGTCCAACCTGCTTCCTGGCCCCTCCCCAGCCTTGCTGCTTCCCCTCACAGCTTTGCACACACTGTTGCCCCCGCCTAGAATGTTCTCCCTGGGCCCCCAGCTCCAACGTAGATCCAAAGTCTGGCACCGTCTCTCACAATCTCTGAGCCTGACCACAGCGACCCCACATCTGCTGCCCCCACCAGGCCAGGGCGTGGGGGGACCAGGCTACTTTGGAGTGCTCACGCTACTTCCCTGGCATCTGGCTGAGGCCCAGCACAGTGAGTGGACACATGCTTGGAGCAATATGAGACTGGAAATGCCATGATCAGGAGTAGGGTGGGGGCCAAGCCCGTGGCACACTCGGTAGAGTGCGGCGCTGGGAGCGCAGGAGCGCTCCTGCCGCGGGTTCTGATCCTATATAGGGATGACCGGTGCGATGCACTCACTGACTGAGCGCGGTGCGGCCAGTCACAAAAAGGACAAAAAAAAAAAAGGAGTAGGGTGGAAGGGCCACTCCTGGGGCCCCCTCTCTTGCCACAGCCCCCCACCCAGCTCAACAGAATACAACTATGTCTCCATCTTCATGGCTGCCACCAGGTCCCTGGCAACCCCCACCACTCCTGATGCCTGCTTCCACCTCCTCCCAGATGCCCCACCTTGGCACTGGTCCCTGCAGTCCCTCCTCTGCCAGCAGCCACAGGGATCTGGTGAAGCTACACCTTGGCATAAGGCCATATTTCCCAAGAGGGGGCTTAAGACTACGCTTTAAAGACCTTCCCATGGGCCGTCAGGCTGGTGGTCGGGAAGCCTCAACTCCCTACTCCGTAAGGTAGGAGTGACGGGAATAGAGATTTAATCATTCATCTGGGTCAGGCACTGGGCCCTGCTCTTGGTGCTCCCAGATTGCAAGGTTCTTCATGTGCTTCTCTCCCCGAAAGAATTTCAGTTCCTCCAACAGGCCACACTGGGCATCAGGATTTTACGCACCAACTCTCTTCTAGGAAGAATAGTCCTCTCTTCCCCGACACAGCCCAATGCTCTTGTCAGCCTCAACTCCAATGTCACTTTCTCAGAGAAGCCCCAGGCCAGCCCTGACCACCCAGTCAGTTAGGGTCACCCTCCCCCACTACACACACTCCCAGGTGCTAAGGGATAGGCCTGCACATCACTCTCCTGGTCTCACCCCCCTGAGCCTCCCAACCTGTCTCCTGGCACTAATGGGAGCACAAGGAGGCCAGGTGGTTGGGTAGTGGCAGCAGCTCTGGTCCTCTTCACCGCTGTGCCCCAGCCACAGTAAGTACTCAGTGGACTACCACTGGGTGACAGCCACTGGATAAGATGGTTATGTCTCACCATGACAAAACTGGCAACGTTCCAGTGCAGGAAGCCAGCTGACAGATTCTCCCAGCAAGCTGTCCCCAAACAGGCTAGCAGCAAGCACAAAACCACAGCCACTGGGACAGCATCACTCTGCAAGGACCTGGTGTGTGCCAGGCATGTGCATTAAATAACGTGGACTTCCCTGCAACCAGCAAGGCAGTACTATTATCTTCACTATGCAGACAGGAAGCACAGCCGTGAGCAGCGGTCCCTCCCCAGGAGTAGGGATTGGAACCTGGGTAGTCTTGGCTCCCAGCCCCCACCCACCAGGCAGGGTTTCCCAGCGTGGCAAGGGGCCAGCAGTATCAGCATTCCTGGGAATTCATTCAAAATGCATCCTCGCCCCCGCCCCTAACCTGCTGAATGAGAAACAGAACTACAATCGGAGCCCTGCAAACATCGGAAACTCGCAGTTCCGCCACTGCCCACAGCTGATTGGACACCTAAACCCAGAGGAGGCAGCCCATTGGCCCACCCGTGGCCTATGACACGGCAGAGCGCACTAAACTGGGGGTGTTCAACCAATCCGCTGCCGTCTCTCACTGGAGCCACGCCCACCAGGGGCTGGGTTGGGTAGCCCAGAGGATGGGGAGAAGGCAGGGCCGGGTGCAGCTGAGAACAGGGTCTACGCAAGACAGATCCGCCTGGTGCGGAGCCCAGATCTACAGCCTGCTGGAAAGGTGGGCAGCCTGGCTACGCCCCAGTTTCCATGTCTGTACAAAGCACAAGGAGGCCAGGTGGTTGGGTAGTGGCAGCAGCTCTGGTCCTCTTCACCGCTGTGCCCCAGCCACAGTAAGTACTCAGTGGACTACCACTGGGTGACAGCCACTGGATAAGATGGTTATGTCTCACCATGACAAAACTGGCAACGTTCCAGTGCAGGAAGCCAGCTGACAGATTCTCCCAGCAAGCTGTCCCCAAACAGGCTAGCAGCAAGCACAAAACCACAGCCACTGGGACAGCATCACTCTGCAAGGACCTGGTGTGTGCCAGGCATGTGCATTAAATAACGTGGACTTCCCTGCAACCAGCAAGGCAGTACTATTATCTTCACTATGCAGACAGGAAGCACAGCCGTGAGCAGCGGTCCCTCCCCAGGAGTAGGGATTGGAACCTGGGTAGTCTTGGCTCCCAGCCCCCACCCACCAGGCAGGGTTTCCCAGCGTGGCAAGGGGCCAGCAGTATCAGCATTCCTGGGAATTCATTCAAAATGCATCCTCGCCCCCGCCCCTAACCTGCTGAATGAGAAACAGAACTACAATCGGAGCCCTGCAAACATCGGAAACTCGCAGTTCCGCCACTGCCCACAGCTGATTGGACACCTAAACCCAGAGGAGGCAGCCCATTGGCCCACCCGTGGCCTATGACACGGCAGAGCGCACTAAACTGGGGGTGTTCAACCAATCCGCTGCCGTCTCTCACTGGAGCCACGCCCACCAGGGGCTGGGTTGGGTAGCCCAGAGGATGGGGAGAAGGCAGGGCCGGGTGCAGCTGAGAACAGGGTCTACGCAAGACAGATCCGCCTGGTGCGGAGCCCAGATCTACAGCCTGCTGGAAAGGTGGGCAGCCTGGCTACGCCCCAGTTTCCATGTCTGTACAATGGGGGTGTGTCAGCTGCCTTCCCAGCGTGGGAGGGTTTAACAGGGAGTGAGGAGAAGGTGACACACCCAGCGCTGAGCCAACCGGAGCTGATAATTCCAGGTCAGTGGGAAGCGGCAAGGAGATTCCTCCCAGCTCTGGAGAGGAGAGGGGAGAGGCCCCACCTCCAAGGGCTTCCCTTTCCAAGGTCCAGCTTCGGTCTGGCCCCAAGATGCTTTCCAAGGAGGCCTGAGTGGATTTCAAGCTGGAATACACACTCACATCATATCAGACTCGTATGGGAAGAACAGAAATAAACCGAGCCCAGGGAGGAGAGAACAGAAAAAAATCCACACGTGCGTCATTCTATATTAAAGTGGCTGGGCCTCTCCTGAAAGTCAATGTCATGATTAAGAAAGAAATGGAGGGGATGCTGCTCTAACGAAAAGAGAAGGAAACATGACAACGCAAATTGATCAGAGCAGCTGCAAAGGTAGCCAGAGGCGATATCTGGGTAACAACTGGCAACATATGAGTGTGGACTGGGTGTTAGATGACATGCAGGGATGATTCCTCTTCTTGGACATGGTTCTGTGACTATGTAGGAGAGTGTTGTCACTGCACAGGGAGGTGCACTGAAGCATGTAGGGTTGATCTGTCAAAATGTCTGCTACTGATTTTGAAAGTTTTTAGCAAAAATGTGTCATCTATGATACAGAAAGCAAATGTGGCACCTGGTGGCCTGGTCACAGCTGAGGGCTCTCAGGGTGGGTGTGTGAGTGTTCACTGAGCTGTTTTTCAACTTCCCTACACACGTGGAACAGTGGAACACATGAATTCAAAGCCACATGACAGCACAGGACCCAAGATTGTACTCTCAGGCCCCAGCTCCTCCAGGGCCCCATGTCCACGTTCACCTCCTGCTAAAGCTGCGCGCTGCCCCACCATACCTGTTTTTGAGAAGATGAGCTGCAGAATGAGAGGTCGCCGAGTGACAATTCCTGAACCACGGGGAAGGAAGTCCCTGTGGGGGGAAAAGGGACAGAAATTACTCACGCGTCTGGCTCCAGGGGCAGGAAGTATGACCACATGTGGTAGAGCAACTCTGTCTTGCAATTTGGGCAGCCTCAGCAAAGACACCAACCCCAGCTGGGCACTGGGAAATGCTCCATCTTGGAGGGTCCTGAGGCCAGGAGGGCAGGGGTGGGACTGGACTGAAGGTCATGGCGAACAGAACCATTTCCCGTTGGCAGGCCGTGTCCCAGCACTCTCAGCAGGCCGTTTCCTTGACAAGTATGTGGACAACCTCCCCCACATTCAAAACACAGCAATACAGTTCTTATGTTTTAAATTAATATAATGCCACACGTATGACATAAAGGTGAAATAAAAGGAAAGTAGTTGATGACCAAATATGATGTTTCATGTCCAAAAAAGACCAATTGAGAGAGCCAGAAGGCAGATCTGTGGTTGCCTGGGGGTGCACACAGGGATTGACTGCAAATGGAAGGAAGAGAGCTTTCTGGGGTGATGGATATGTTCTAAAACTGGCTTATGGCAATGTTTACTAAAATTTACTGTAAATTTACTAAAAATCACTGGCTTTGAAATGGGTGAATTTCATAGTATGTAAATTACTCAATAATGCTGTTTAAGATAGAAAAAAAATCCTCTGTGGGCTGGCCAGTGAGCTCAGTTAGAGCGTGGTGCTATAACACCAAGGTCAAGGGTTTAGATCCCGTTATCGGCCAGATGTATTTCACAATGAAAATACTCATGCTAGATGTAAGGAAGTAGCCTGCACTGATTTACAGTGAATACACCTGGATTCCAGCAAGTAGGAAGACCAGAAGCCACCCTGTACCATGAGAAAAGAAGTCTGGGGGACACTGAAGTAGGATCAGCATGTTTGGAGAAGATTACAGCCTTGTAAAGGACTCTTTGTTGTTTCATATGAAATGGAAAAAGGTTCTATCTAGGCTTAGGAATTTCAAAAAAGGTTTGCACCTAGATGGATGTTTGAATTGTCTGAAATTCATGCAGAACACAGACAACTGGTACTAGGCAGGTATGTTTCACTTACAGCAAGACAGCATCCTGGGTCCCCCAACCAAGTGCCATTGGTACCTCAGCCTTCCCCAGCTGGGGGTGCCCTCCCATGTTGGGAACCTCCTGATGGGGACCCTGGAGGGTCCCAGAGGAGACCACTGGTTCTCAGCCAGGGCCAGGCATCAGAATCTCCAGGAACATATTAGCCCAGTGGGTGGAATGAGGGTGGAGATACACTCTTGCCATCCAGTGTGCAAGATGAGATTCCTGTCCCAGCAGCCTGTGTTCTGTCCTACCACGCTACATAGTCTTCTCCCCTGGATGGTCACATGGACATTGCACTGACCACACAACGGGTTGGCCCCAGCCCTTGAGGGCCTTGAGGCCCAGCCTGCAAGTCCACGGGATTTGCACAGGCAGCAGGACTCTGAAGGTCCCCATGGAGGCACTGCTGGTGAGCAGCAGAGTGGGCACTGAAATTCCAGAAGCAGCCTTGAGTGGACAAGCCCAGGGGCAGAGGGGGAGGATGGTTGTCATTTTAGGCCATGTGATGGGATTTAGGAATAGCCAGATATAACAAATGCAAGCTTTTAAAACACTCCTCTAGCTGCTGCTGGAGCCAAGAGGCAGGCAGAAGGTGGCGGGGGCGGG